ATTTATAGTCTTCAACAGCAATATTGTCTCATGAATTTTCCTATCCAGACTGTGTAAAGTAAATAACAATATATAAAAAGCTCATTATCAATAAATTTTGGTTTTCCTCCAGTTATGAACCTTAGTTTCACCCTCAGCATTCATTAGCAGCATTCATGGGTTCCCCACTGTCCATCAGAATTCAAAATCCATGTAGTTCTCACCTACACAGGCTTACAAATTTCCCTGAGCAGCAACCATCCACACTTCGGAGATTTTAGAATTTTCTGCACACTTTTATGAATTTGCAATCATCCATCCATCCAATCCATCCATCCATTCCATAAGCATGCACTGAAAAACATACTAGGTTCCACTTACTATGGCAAACATTGGAAACATGGAGAGACAAGTCACCCAAGGTTCCTGCCCTCAAACATCTGGCCTTTCAGGAAGGAAAAGTGACGATAAACAATGATGCTGCATGAAATATTTAACAATGCTATAAACGAAGATGAAGGCATGTAGAGGTACACGGTATTGTCTGTGTTCCATGTGATAGAAGATGGAAGCTTCTGGGCATTTAATACCTGAACAGTGGTCAAATTGAAAGGAGAGTTTGGATGGGCCTTTCCCATGCCCAGGAAGTTTCCAGAACCTAGGCAGCAAATGGAATGGAAGGGCCTAGGGTGTCACTGAGGCACTGTGGTGTCATGTCACCTCATGAATCAGGTCATGCCAGGCTTGTGGCACCCTTGCCTCACTTCTTTCCCCTGGAAGGACCCTACCTTGGGCAAGTGACTACAGATACTGCACCTTGGGATTACTTCTAAGACTTGGGATGACCAATGAACAGCCTCTTCCCCCAAAAGATTGTCAAACAAGAGCGAAGCAGATTTCAGAGCCATAGCATGAAAGGCCCAAGGCGGAGAGAAACAATATGAGTCACATGTTCAAGCTTCACGGACAAGTTCATGGGTTTGAAGGCAAAAGCTGTAACCATTCTAAGGGAGTCTGAAGAAATATTAAAGCGGTAATTACAGCTGCTACCATCAGTGGAAACATCCTTAGAATTTGTCTGTCAACCCCGAGGGACAAGACACAAGAGTGTCCTAGTTTGCTTTCTATGGTTGTGGTAGAATGTACTAACCAAAGTTCACTTGGGAAGGAAGGAGTTCCCTTTGGCTTATGCTTCCCAGTCCCAGTTCATCATGAAGAGACGTCAGGCGTGAACTCAAGTCAGGAACCAGGAGGCAGGCGCTGAAGCAGGGGCCATGGAGGGTGCTACTCACTGGCTTATCCTCATGGCTTGCTCAGCCAGTCTTCTTACAAAGCCTAGGATCACCTGCCCAGGAATGTCACCCTCCCACATTAATTACTAATCAAGAAAATGCCCACAGGCTTGCCTATAAGCCAATCCAATGAAGGCATTTTCTCAGCCGACCCTATCTTGCGTCAGACTGATAAAAACCAAACAAACAAGGCACCTGAAGGGCACAAAGAGTGAACCACTACCATCCAGAACATCCAGCAAGCCCAGTGGCCTAGCGTGGCCCAGACTAACAACAGTACATCGACTCAAAACAGACGAGAGAAAATCGGGAACAAGAGCACGTGCTGAGACTTTTCCTGGGGTCACATAAGCAACATTTATTCACACCAGACAGGGCAACAACATGTCCAAGAGATTACTCTACCCGTTCCTGTCTTGCTGGATGAAGGTTTTATTGGGAGTAACACGTGGGTGAGGGTTACTTACAAAAGCACAGGTGAGCTCAAAAGTAGTTGCACCACACTGAGCAACCCAGGCCGGCCTGGAACCGGTGACAGTCTTCTTCCGATATAGAAATGGATACTTTGTTTTGGATTGGGTTTTCATGTATTGATATACATTTAAGACCAATTTTGTGATATGGATATTTCTCCTCTTGTTTAGGTATTGTGTTTATATAGCTCATTTAGAAATGTAATGTATAATTTAGCACAGATTATAGTTACCAATAATAGTCAAAGCTTATAGTTAAGTTAGTTAGGATTTCTAGATATACAGAGATGTATTTGAGATGGATAGGCATTCTTCAAACCTTTCAAAGACCTACAGAATATGGCATTTAAAATGGTTTAGGGGTTTTCTTGACAGTGAGACATAGCTGTTCCTGGCAACAACACCCGCGCCAAGGAGGAAGATGGACATCAAAGAAACTCATTATGGAGTTTTCTTTCAATATGGCAATATGGACAAGATACTGCTCTTGTCTGGACTGTTTGACTTTATGCTGTATAAATTGGATATGCAAGACCCACAGAAAAGTGACTGCTGATACAAGATGGACATTGTTACAGAGTTCCTGCTTCATGGAAGAGTCTGCCAGACATTCTATAGGACACAGAGAAAAGTGACTGACAAACTGTCAATACAGGTGGAAAGTTTAAAGTTTCCTGCTTTGCTGAGGAGTCTGCCAGACACACTATGGCCTATAGGCTGAAGATGGAAGATTACAGAAGAACATCAGTTGACTGACCAGGCAGTAAGTTGTCTGTGTCATTTCTAGAGTTTATATACTATCCTTCTGTGGTCTTTAATGGAGTTGAAGACAGATAGTTATGATTATAGTTTTTCTTAGTTAGGATTAAAGATAAGTTACATATAAGACTTTAGATTCACAAAGATAGGATAGAATGTTAGTGGACTAAATGTTAACTGTGGTTCTTATTTGATAATTGTTTTGTTATATATTTTGCTATGTTGATATTAAAACCCTTCTTTTTATTTAGACAGAAAAGAGGAGTTGACGGGAGATGTCCCGTCAACACAACTGCAGACTTCAGGATTGCTGTTGGTGCCTGCAGCAGAACTCAGAAGAGGAGCTGCTGAAATGAGTCAGTAGGTAAAGAGCAGAGTCTGATCCCCTGAAACTACACCGTGGGAAAGAACCAATGTGACTCCTGCAAGTTGTCTTCTGACCCGCACAAGTGTGCACGCACACACACACACACACACACACACACACACACACACACACACCACATAAATAAATAAATAAATAAATAAATAAATAAATAAATAGGGGGCTGGAGACATGACTCAGCAGTGATGGCTCAGCAGTTCAGAGCGCTCAATAATCTTTCGGAGGCCAGAATTTGGTTCCCAGAACAGCATCGGGAAGTTTCTGCAGCCTGTGACTACAGCTCCAGGGAACCCTCTGGCCTTTATGGGAACCAACATTCACATACATGAGTCACGCAAATACATATAAATGTGTAACAAAATAAAAATTTTTATTTTTAACTACTCTGCTCTAAACTACTCTAAAGAGATGCATTTTGCCTTTAAGGAACTTAGTTAGGGACTAGCTTATGATGGAGGTTGGCTGTGATGATTCTTGCTGACTTAGTTTTCTTCAGGACTGAGCTCCACAAAAACCTCATCCCATCCAACAGGCTTCAGTTCCAAGAGCACTGTTCTTGGTGTCAATGAGTGTGCTAGACCTTTCTACATTTCACTTGGTACTGAACTAATGAGTTAAATACTGGAAAGCATGGCAGGTACATTTATGGAGAAAAAAATAATAACACTGAAAAGCAACCTGAAGACCTAACTGCTGGGCAGTCTTGTGAAAGTTTTCTGTTGGAGAGGGAGAGTGATAGAGGAGGTGGCCAGAGGCCGATGTATAGGTTCTTCCTGGCCATAAAGAGGTCTTTGGATTTTAGGGCACCTTTGGGAGGAAGCCTTTGTGAGCTGACTGTCTCACCAAGATGATATGATGTATTTGTTTTTGTTTTTATTTTTTATATGATATAATGTATTTATAAGCATCACCCCAGCTGTTGTGCAGTGTTGTACTGGGAACAAAGTGGCACCAGGATCAACATGAACCTGCCTGTGTCTCAAGCAGGCAAATGCACCTGCTGGCTCATCTCAGTTGTCTGTATGGCAACTTCCAGCCTACCTAACTGTGGCATCTTCAGTAACGCTTTATTCTGCAAACCAAACAACCTTGCTCCAGGACTGACTGGTTATTACCCAGAATGGTACTTTTATCCTTCCCATCCTCACACCCGAGTCAGCAAATGGACACTTTCTCACTTCGTTTTGTGTTGCACTTAGCAACTTACCACGATGAGATCGGTACAATGGGAAGATACATGTATCGGAATCACATTTCAAATATCTGAGGCCACAGATATCTGAACCAAATAACTTACAGGATTGGGGGGGGGATACAAAAAGATGTTCTGTACTGAAACAAAGGAAGTCTCAGTGGAGGATGACAAGAAAATGAGCAAGGGATGATGAAATAGATAACTGAAGATAAACAGTTTTAGAACACAGCGAGGAAGTTCCAGACCACAAGCTTTCTATTTCCTGCACCAAAGCAACTCCTGACTGAACGACACTTGAAAGAACCTGTCCGTATGGGGGAAAGAAGTGAACATCACACTTTTCAAATTCATAATCTCCCAAATAAAACCTAACCCTGTTGGAGAGAGCCACAAGGGTAGAGATTCTAAAACCCCTACTCAACAGGACACCTTCTGGCCACCACCAGCACCTGGCACATAATAGATATCTAGTAAATGCCAATAGTTACATGTACAAAGAAATGCAATTATGGGATTACATTGAAAATTTCGCCCTCTCTTTCAGTGTTTTTCCATATCAAATACAGTGATCTCAAACCTTTAACTCTTTGCTTAGATTGTGCTATTTCCTAAGCTGTTTGCATTTTCTAAAAAAAAAAAAAAAATTGGGAAAAGATGTCTTCAAATCTGGGAAAAATCCCATTTACTACTATTGTGAGAAAGCACATTTCAGATAGCAGGGAAAGCCCACAGCTCACCACCACAACTCCCAGTGAAGTGTCTGGGCCACTGGAGCATGAATTAAAGGGAACTGGCAGAATTGACCGAGTAGGTGGGAGGAGGAAGGGGTGGAGCCAGACTAAAGGGGTTTAAAGGCTGAAATGCCTCAGAGATTAAGACACTGAACAAGGCAGTTCTGGCAAGGGCTCGCTGTAGACCTCTTGATATACACCAGAGAAGCCAGGGAATTTTGAAAAGAAAAGAAAGAAGATGAATTCTGAAGATGGCTCTGTAACAGAGAACAGCTCTTCACACCTGGAGAGAGGGGAGAAGGGTGAGTCATGTGATTTCTTACATTCCTGTACCATCTCTAGGTTTGATGAATGGAATAGAGTTAGGAGGGCTTGGTTAGGTTCTATTTCAGTAGGTAAAAGAGAAATTGGTAAATACCTCTCTGGCTGTGACAACACAGAATACCTGTATCGGAGGAAGCCAAATGAGTTTCAGATTTTTAAGTGACTTTTCCTTTGACTCAATTTATATCATTTCAGCTATTAAACGTGAATGGAAAAGTCTCTGCCTTATCCTAGTTACTCTCCATCGTTTCACCATAACCATCTGTGTGTAATTCAGGAGGTCTTTCCCCTCTTTAGGAACAGCTCTCTTTCACATGAACAGTTAGGTTCTCGATCTTTCCTCCTATGTTGGCATGCTCTCTGTGTGTCTTGCTTGTTCAGTGCTCCCATCACAAATCCTTCAGTGGGTGGAAGCAAACAGATCTCCAGTCTAAGAGAAAACAGCTACACTCACATGAACATCCACAGTGTCAAGTGGTGATCTATTAGGGCGAAGCCCTTCCTTTCTTTAAAATGTCATCTTCTGCCACGCCCTTCTATTTGGAATGCCCTCCTTCCCTTTATCCTATTTCTGTCCTCCAATGACTCCTTTCAAATTTTATTACAACTATACACTTCTTTTTCATTTTTATCCAAACATGATCACTCTGCACATTTCCCTGTGTCTGTTTTATACACACTATGCTTCCTATTGTCAGAATTTGCCCATTCTGTTTCTGAGTGTCGAGGAGCCCTTAAACACTGAATATTTGGGAACTAGAGTGATTTGTAATCAAGAGCTATCCAGTTAATAATGGAATATGTTATATCCAACACCGCCAAGACAGTTGGTGATAAGAGAATTATTTTACAAGTGTTCCATCAGTTGGTTTATTGTGAAAAACCTCCATTACCTTTAAAACCCCACCCCTTATTTGAGATCATGAATCAAGTACAAATAAATAGTGTACAATATTCATTTTTATAATCCTAAGTCACCCACATGTGTATGTCTCACTTAAAATGAAAGAAAAAAACCCCATATAGCAGATAATAATGAAACCGTAATCAATAGTGGGATAAAGGAAGGACCCAATGTAGAAAGCCCTGTTCTGGCCTGGTGTCAGACCCATCTACCCTTGTATGTTTAGCCTATGTTCTTATTGCCGTAACCATAACAGTAAAAGAATCAGCAGGCTCCTCTTGGGTGATTGGAAGGTGATAAATGGGTGGATCTGTTTTCAACCTCTACAATAATGCACAGGGCTCAGATGTGTGCTGTTAGGGGGGAATGTTTTGTTGCCTAGGTGACAGGTTGAACTGCGGTTAGCTGTGACCCTCAGTGATGTAAATAAAGTGTCACGTGGGAGTTTGTCTCCACACTCTATCCACCAGGTGGGTTGACGGGTTGAGCTTGTTGATATCTAGGTGTTGTTTTGGATGTAGATGTGTTTGCTGTGGAGCCAGAGTTATTTATGAATTGAGTCCAAACAGCGTGACTCTCATGTGTTGAGGAGTGAAACTAGACCCATCCCATCTCTAAATGCATTACTCAGCCTCACAAAGACTACTTCTGAAGATAAGTGTGTATGGGTGTAAAAAGGGAGGCAGGGAAAAACAGATCCCAACAGGACTGATAAAGTCTTCTCTTACAAGATCTGAAAACAGATTTTAGCCAAAAAAAGAAAAACTCCTAGGAAATGCGTCGGTTGATAATAACAGCCACACTGTGCCTCCTCTCCAAGTTTATCTGCAATGAAATGTTTTCAGAAAAAGAAAAAAGAATTCACAAATCCCAAGATACAATCTACAGAAATACTTTTAGTTATAAAAAGGCATCCACATTGAAAGTCATATGTGTTTATAATGAGAAAAAAATCTCTGAGACGGGTTCTCAATTTGCAGCCAAAGCCAGCTGCAACCACACTGTTCCCCTACATGTTGAGATCACAGCGTTGGAGGCAGGTTATCACTTCCAGTTATAAGATCATTCAAGGAACTATTTCACACTGCAGCTTATGTGAACTTTTTTTAATCTAATTTGGGAATTTACAGTTTCACAATAAACCAACAAATGGAACAATTGTAAAACAAACAAACAAACAAAATTCAAAATCTGAAGCCAAACATTGACTTCTCCTTCTTTCCAGTCATCTAACATGCTAGAACAGATAAATCCCTGCCTATCCAAATCCTGACATAGAAACATTTCTTTTGTGTTGTTGGCTTGTTTGTTGTGTGTGTGTGTGTGGAGGGGGGGTTGTTACTGTTCTCTTTTTGTTTGTTTTTCAAGACATGATTTCCCTGTGTAGCCCTGGCTGGAACTCACTCGGTAGACCAGGCTGGCCTCTAATTCACAGAGAGCCTCTGACTCTACCCCCTAAGACCTGGGATTAAAGGCACAGGACGACACTGCCAGGCTAGAAACATTTCTTATTAGTTTGCTCAACCTTTATAGAGAAAGTTAAATGGAAGAATAGTTCTGTTATTTCTCTTTATTATTTTATTCTATCTTAGGAAATTAAATGTTTCACTGTTCATTCTTACATCATCACTAATTTAACTAACTGTGGTATAATTTATGTGCAATGAATGAACGAATCACAGAAGTGCAGTGTGATGACATGACAATTGTGTAGCCAAACTTCCCATCAGAATTTGAACATCCTAGGACATTTGCATGTCCTGTTTTCACAAGCAAACACTGTCTCATATCTGACACCACACCTTATTTTGGCAATGAAGTGTCACAAATATGGAAATATATATTATGCAATCTTTATTGACTACATATTTATTTAACATTATTGTTTTTAGATTCATCATTTGTATATTCATCAGGGTTTTGTTTTAATTGTTAAGAATTACTTTATATGCATATACCAAAATGCATGTATTTACTCTAATGTGGACAGATATTTGGGTTATTTTTAGGGCTTGGTATTAATGGTAAATCTATGAATATTGTTTTACAAGACATTTTAGGAATATGTTTTATGTCTCTTAAAGGTGGTTATGTGTTTGTGTAATAAAAGACTGCCTGTATATGGATAACAGTGGTATATGCATAACATTGTTTTTTATTTGTGTCTGTGTGAGTATAGGTCATATGTGTACAGATCCTTTCGAGCTGAAGCTATAGGTGGTTGTGAGCTGCCTGACGTGGGTGCTAGAAACCAAACACTGGTCCCTCCACAAGAGCAGAATGTGCTCTTAACCACTAAGGCATCTCTGCAGCCCCCATGTATGCACAGCATTTAAAAAAATATTTTCAACTCACTTAGCATTAATATATAAAAGTTTCCAATTGTTATAGATCTGCACTACCGTTGCCAAGAATCATAATCAAGTTTAATTTTTTTTTGCTTTATCCTACTTTTAGATATACATAAATGCAACATTTCACTTTATTGAGTTGCTCACATTTATCCGATGTATTTCATCTCTTTTAAACAGTAGCAAACTGCAAGGAGACTAAGAAACTACAGCCACAACCCTCTTTTTATATATCTATTATGGGAACTGAATGCTTAAAAAGTCTTATATTGTAGTTAAAACAAGACAATAATACACTTGAATTTTCCATAGCTATGAAATATACCCATTATACCGTGTGTGTGTGTGTGTGTGTGTGTGTGTGTGTGAGAGAGAGAGAGAGAGAGAGAGAGAGAGAGAGAGAGAGAGAGCATTTTGCCTGCCTTGCTTTATTTCTAGCCAACAAAACATTTTCCAAATGTGCTTGGAATTTGGTACAATTGACTATTACCATTTCATATTAATGGGACAACACGTCACTATTTTTAATTTTATATTTCTCAAGAAATACCAAATGTTTCATCTTACAGCCTGAATTCATAGCCATTTCTCTCCCTTTTCAGACCACAGCAACACTATATTTGAGAAACATCATGAAGGATCCATTCAAGTTCCTATCCCTTGTGCTGTGTTGCCAGTGTTCATCATTACTTCCTTAATTATAGCTCTGGTTGCCTTGAGTGGTGAGTCCATACTTCATGAATTTTCTCAAAGCCTGCTAGCAGTAAGCATTCACTTACAGCTGAAATGAATTGCTCTTTGCCTGAGCTAGTTAATTAGGCTTTCTGGTCAACTTAGAAACACCTCATATTGCCATAAATAAGCAGTTTCATAATCAGCATGAAATACAATCCATGTGTCCTGAATGACAACTGCAACACTTTTATAAATATAAAAAGTGTCTGATTTATACATTACATAGAATAGAGCATGTTTACATCTGTAAGAAAGGGATATATGTATGTATGTATGTATGTATGTATGTATATGTATTATACACACACATACATACATATATATACATACATACATACATATATATATATGTATGTGTGTGTATAATACATATAGCTCATATATATGTATAGATATGTATAGGTGAATAAACATTTAACTAGAAAAAAATGTAGATTTTTCAATCACAGTTGACAGGGGAAAATGGTATCTAAAATAGAAAAACAGTTTCTATAGATTTATCAAAAACTGTCCAATATTTTTGTCTTGTATCTCAAACTGACAGACTAAAAACTGAGTTGTTGTGACTCCCAGGGCCAGCTGGGCCAAGCTTTGCCAATATGCATGACAAGACACATTTATGTATTTCACAAGTAAATGTTACAGTTTGAGGAAATACCCCAAATAATCCATCTTACTGCATTTTTTAATTGAAAATAATTTGCATAGTATCTTGTGATCACACTCTTCTTTCCTCCATCTCCTCCCAGACCTCTCCGTGACCTCCCAGCCTTCATCCTCTGCCTGAAATGAGTCCTTCATCCTTTTATCTCACAATCTGCACCCAAGACTGTGCCTTCTGATTCCCGTGTGTGGGAATTCAGATTCAAAGCTCACTTAGAACTCACCACACATGTTTCCTCCTTTAGCCCAAGTGTTATTTTTGAGGTTTCCCCACTTCACTGCCATTTTCTGGTGTACTGACGCAGTCCCTCTGCTCATGCCCCTGGACTAGGCTTACCTGTAGAGTGTTTGGTCTCTTCTGTTACTAAGAAACATGATCTTCCTGTCCACAGTGGGCCAGTACAATTGCCCTGGCGTGTATACGAACTTGGCATCACCCGGCCGCCGTGTCACTTCCTGCGAGGACGAGTGGATAGCATACCAGAGGAAATGCTACCTTTTCTCCACCACAGCCAACAGCTGGGCCTCGGCCCAGAACTCTTGTTTTCAAGAGGGTGCTACCCTTGCTGTTATTGATTCCCAAAGGGACATGGTAAGATTCACAACTGATTTCATCAAATGCTATTGTTTTATTTAGAACATGTATGGTTTCACTGTGTTCTCTAAGTGGAAACTGGGTACCTAGCTCATATGCAGGAAAATTCAGTCATGGGTGGGGGGGGGGGATAGGAACCATCTAAAAAGTCAAAATGAGAGTCTGCTGCATAGTCTTGCACTGTGGTTTGGTTGCCTAGTGTCAGGGACCAGCATTTCAGATGAGCCCAGCAAAGAATGGCAGTTTGTAACATAACTGCATTGTGCTTTTAAGATATTTCTGAAGCGATACGCTGGTGGTCAGGAACACTGGATTGGGCTGAGAAATGAAGCTAACCAGACATGGAAATGGGCAAACGGCCAAGAATTTAACAGCTGGTAAGTCACACACAAAAAAACTTTATCTTTTCTAGGCTGATACTTAAAACAAAAAAAAAAAAACTTTCATTTTTATTTATTTTATTTCTTTTCATTTTATTTTTTATCCCTCCACATTTTTTTCTTTTTTTAAGTTATGTTGATGCTGTTCTTCACCACATAGCTCTCGTCACTTCTCCTGTGTGTATTATGCTCCTTGGAATTATGTAGAGGCATCCTTTATCATGAGAATTCACTGAAAAACTCCCTTTAATAACTTAACTTTGTCTAGGCAAACACTAGTGTGAGTTATAGTCTTAATGAGTTTGGGCATAGTCCAGGAACACTTCTGATGATGGCTGGTGAAACAGTTGTTGGGAAAGAATTGTCTATTTCCCTTCCTTTCCCAGTTCAGGGTCAAAGGACAATATTTTAGTGCCTAATTACAAGTGACTATGAACATAACAAAAACTCATCCCCAAGCAATAAAGACATCCTTGTTAGCCCGTCATTAAGTTAGATTTAAAGTTTTGAGCTGCATTCTGTAAATTTAGTGTTGATATTTAACATCTAAAACCTCAGAATGAGTAAATTTCTCACTCTTAACATTTGTATAACAACTGGTAGAATATCAGAATTAAGACCTACATTTTTTAAACAAGGCACAGTGGCACTACCTTTAGTCTCAACACTCAGGAGGCAGAGGCAGATGAATCTTTGTGAGACCAAGGCCAGCCTAGTCTAATACTGAGACCATTTCTCAAAAACAAACAAATTGTATACCTGGTAAAGGTACTTTTAATGTGCAACCCCATGGTTGTATACCTACATCTAGGCTACAAAGGAATTCAAGAAAACCACCTTTGATCTAAACAAACTGGTAGTATTTGACAAAGTCAGCTGTGAATCTTACCATGTCCTAAGCCCATTAAAACCGTGCTTCTATGAACTAAAAATGATAATGAATGGCTCCTTTGCTGGGACACCCACTAAAAAACAGAAAAACAAAGCCTTTAGCTCTACCTACTTTCTCCACCAAGATTCCCTTCCCCGCTGTCTGTTGTCTCTTCACATTAGACCATGGCTCCTTGGCTGGAAGGCTTGTGCTTTGTGCTTCCTACTCAGGGAACAAAGTTTATTCTCGTGCCACTGTCTGGAAACGGACTGGAAATAAATCTGAGTGTCTTCATGGTTTGACAGGTTCAACCCGACAGGGTCTGAGAGGTGTGTGTCTCTGAACAACACAGACATTACTACTGTGGACTGTGAGGGAAACTTACACTGGGTCTGCAGCAAGCCCTCCAGATGACAAGGGAGCCTTTATCTACAGAGGACTGCGTCACGGATCCACAGGAAACTAGTGTGACTGGATAACACTCTATGGTCAAATTTCCCACAAAAACCTCCCAGACCAACTGTACCTGATCCCGGGACTCTTCCAGACAGGACTTGACTGTGACCAAGGGAGAGAAATTCCAGGAAGATCTATATTGGGGTCTCCCTCGACCATGACCTGAAAATGTCACTCACATCAAAAATGGAGAGGGTGACTCCGAAGCCTCATAGATGCACTTTATATTTTAAATCTAGAATGGATAAAACGACTAGGTTTAGAGTTACTATTTATTGCTGAATGACGGCGACAGCCAGTGCCTTCATGCATTTGCACTATTTGAAAGGGCCTGGATGGTAGTAAAACTGAAAGTAGATATAGGAAATTTTTTCTGATTAATGATTTTTCTTAAACTCAAAAAGTATCACAAGTAGGCCAATGCTTAGGAAACAAAGCTTTGCAGTAGCTTCCTCTATTTACAGACCTTTGACACTTCATTTTGTCAATTGTTTGCCCCCAAAAGAATGAGGGTGATTTTTCTTTAACTTCCTTGATGGAGACAGCACATTTTCAGTGGCACCTATTTCTTTTGTCTTTAAAAATCGGCTCTGTAAATGTATTTCAAGGGAGAGATGAAAGCATATGAGGAATGTTCTAAAGCAGATCTCAAAATGCTGGGGGAAAAAAAAGTGCAATACGTGTTGTGGCTGATCTCTGACAGGACCTACACCAAGTGGTTTGACTCTGGAATAATTCCAAGAGTGTCAAATAGCCATTCGTGTCCTTCCCAGTCTATCATGTCACATGTAGTACTTTGTTCAATGTATTTCCTATGTGCAATAAAACGTTCATATATTTGTTTGTATTTTAAGTCTCTGTATAATGTTAAGCCGTTTCTATGAATGTGAAAATAAAAGAATTGACACAATGGTCCCTAGAAGTGTTCATTCAAACTGCATTCAAGCTTACATTCTGTTGTAGCATCAAACTACCTTCCAATCTCTAAACCCAGAGGTTATTGCAGCTTGCAGACCTCACCAGAGAAGATTCTTGGTGCAGTGGGCATTGGTTAATATAAAACGTTCAAACTGGCCATAACGCACAGAATGGGTGACTGTGGAGTGCTCAGTCACAAAATAAACACACTTCCCAGAAAGGTTCAGGAAATAGCATGCAAGAGGAGGCGGGAAAATTGTAAGAACCAGAGGTCAGGGAGGACTGGGGCAAAGCAGTGTCTTCCGGAGCACTATACACACGAACTCAGAGTAGCTCTGCTCCTGCACAAGACCAAGTCTGCCATCCCCGCTGGTGGAAGAAGGGTGCAGGAGTCATCACTCCTACCTGAGGAGCTCGTGGTGACTGATGACTGCTGGGGAGGGACAGTCAGTTTTATTAACAAGCATGTCCCTAGTCATGGACTATGCTCCAACAAACGATCCTGTATCCGTGCATACTTGGACAACATTAACTGGACTCAATGGGTTACAAAAACACAAAGGGAAAAGGATATGACGTTTTGAGGGAGTTGGAAGCAGGGGTGGTGAATATAATTGGAATACTTTGTATACATGTATGGATTTCTCAAAGAATAACTGTAAGTTACATCATATTAGAAAGAAGAAAACAGTATAACTTCTTTTAAAGGCCCTTCACATAGCAAGATCCTAGCTTTATAACACATTTTTATACATTTCACACATTCATGCTAAAATGACACACTTTCTTTTTTTTTTTTTTTTTTTTTTTTTTTTGCATATCAGGTACTCTGAATCTTTGGCCCACATATCCAATATCTGAAACCATCTTTTTTAACCCTGTTCTGAAAACATCCTTTGTACTATATACATTATAGCTATTTGCATATGCTAATTTACCAAGAAAATAATAGATGTCCTTAAAGGGCTCTTTCAGCCAGGAAAACCTTTGATCGCTCCCAGAACTGCTTTATGAATGAATGTTGCAATCTTGTCCGCTTCTGACCTTTGAAAATGGATAACTGAGCAGCCAGCCAGCACGTAAGAGACCTGTGGGCAGGCCTTTCCACCCCTGCTGCCACCCATTTGACTCTATAATGCACAAGACCCATCCAAACCCACAGATTCTACCATCCTACCCCTGGCCAACCATCCCCCAAAACATCAACATCCTTTAGAGGCACAAGCTCCACCTACACCAGTTGGAACATGAACAGCCCTCTCCTGCAACATCAGCGGACTCTAGGCAGAAGTGCCACCCACACCAGTTAGAAGAACAGGCACAGGCTAAAGCTACACCACTTGAAAGAACAGACTCCATAGGCACAAATAAAGTTCACACCAGCCACAACTGGAAAATGCACTGGATCTATGCACCCAACCCCCGGCAAACCTCAGCTGGGATAACCCTACTCAACCTGACAACAAGCCAATCACCAGAACCCTTGGCCATTCAAGCCAAAAGACACCAAAGGAAACAGACAATAAAGAGATAAAAGACTGATTCAACAAAGACATCACAAGTATCAACACTTGTACCTATAATTACCCCAATCCCAGATAGGTAAACGGTGGTGCAAGAATAGATTCAACAACATGAAGAGCAATATGGCACCACCAGAACCTAGTGGTTCTATAACAGCAAGACCTGAGAATCCCAACACAAATGAAGCAGAATAAAATGGACTTAAAAATAACTTTATGAAGATGATAGAGGCCCTTAAAGAGGAAATGAAAAATTCTCTTAAAGATATTAAGGAAAAGACAAACAAAAAACTGTAAGAAATAATAAATCTCTTAAAGAAGGCCAAGAAAAAAAAAACCAATCAAACAGATGAAGGAGAAAACAGTTCAAGACTTGAAAAATTGAAGTAGAGGCAATAAAGAAACCACAAACATAGGGAATTCTGCAAATGTAAAATCTGAGTAAATGAACAGGGTCAACAGATGCAAGCAACAGAATACAAGAGTTGGAAGTGAGAGTCTCAGGCATTGAAGGTACAATAGAGGAAACACATTCACCATCTAAAGAAAACATTAAATCCAACAAATTCTTAACACAAAACATCCATGAAATCTGGGACACCATGAAAAGACCAAACCTAAGATTAATAGGGTTTTAAGAAGGAGAATAATTCCAGCTCAAAGGCAGAGAAGACATATTCAACAAAATCGTAGAAGAAAATTTCCCCACTGTAAAGAAGGACATGCCTATGAAGGTAAAAAAAAAAAAAAAAAAAAAAAAAAAAAAAAAAAATGTTTACAGAATACCAAATAGACTGAATCAAAAAATAAATAAATAAATAAAGGATAAAGGGGTAGATTGATAAAGATTAGGTTAAGAGCCTCCCCAAAGTCATGGTTGGGTCAGGGTTTTGTTTTTGTCTTTCCAGGAAAATAAAAACACACATCTTGAGGAATTTAAAGACCTTTGGACAAATGTGCATCCAAAGAAGAAGGGAGCACTACATGGGGAAAAAATATCAAGAAAAGAAATAATCTGACTTAAAGCTATCTCTAAAGTCTCCAAAGATATTATGGGATCCCACAATGATGATTCTACCAGGACTATAACAATGCTAACAAACACCACCCCTAAGGATATATGCTGGACCAAAACTGCTCCAAACAATTTCAAGGTGTCTTGCTGAGATGATACAGCCCCACAAGCTACTCTAGCCAGGACTTGAGACAAGCCCTGGACTCTCCCATTACTCAGAGACCGGACAACAAATGATACAGACACCTCTCCCAGGATTTGACAATTAACCCAACTTTTTCTTTTTTAGGATCCACTAAAGATGTTGTTGCCCCCAGAAAGCCAGAAGTAAATTTAAGAGCACAATTCCCACATTCCCAAAAGGTAGGGTGGGTGGTTTTTTGTCATTCAATGGGTTATGGATACTTGTTTAAGGAGGTGGTTTCCAAGTTGCTATTAATAATGCCAAAAAAAAAAGTTAAATGAAGGAGATTAGAGTTCTTGTTTTGAAAAGAAAAAAGGAGCTATAGGTATGATAGTATATAAGGGTAGATTATTGAATATACTCCAAAAAGAAAAAAAGGAAGATATAAAAATAGGATAAAAAGGTAGATTATTAAATCTACTTTTGAACCCCAAAAAGTAACTATTAGTTTTAAATATTTTGCATTGATATAGATTTTTGTGTACTTTTGTTAGAACATAATGTTCATGCATTTCTAATCTTGTTCAAGGTATTGTACTTGTATACCTCATTTAACAATGTAATGCAAATTTCTAGTCCTTGAACATTATTATTATAAAATGTTTAGGATACAAAAGAAATGAAGGTTAGTAATTAGTTACCTATTACAATTAAAGTTGCAGTCATACTAGGTATGTTTTCAAGTCAAACAGAGATATATTTTCTACTGACCGGTCATCTTCAAACACTTCAAAGGTAAACAGAATGTGGCATTTAAGATACTTTAATAACATAGGTTCTTTTTTTTATGACAATAAGTCATGTCTTTTCTTGGCAGTACCAATCTACTTTGGAGAAGATGATGGGCATTGAAGAAACTCCGTCTGGAGTTTATTTTCTTTGTGGCAAAAGTTAGCCACTGGGCAAAAAAGCATTCTTGCCTCTTCTGCTGACGGTATTCTGTCCAAGTTGGACAAGCAGGACAAAAGACAGTGACTACTGAACCTAGCCAAGACAAGAAGGGACAGTCCTTCAAAAATATTGCTTCATAGAAAAGTCTATTGAATAGTCTAGGCCTTTAAGCTGAACAAGAATGCCCCAACATTGCAGGGGAATCTTGGGCGACTATCCAGGCAGTCAGATATTGTTATCATTTTCACATTTTTGGGGGAAGTCACTTGCTTGTACTTCTTGCTTATTCAGTTAATATTATCTCCTTCTTGGGTATCTGATGGAATTGAAGACTAGATAGTTATAGTTTTTCTTGTTTATCAGACTCAGAAAAAAAAAAACCCTAAAGAGGTGTAAAATATATAAAGTTGAAAGACATCAAAAGATAGTTTCGGCTGGGAATGAAAGTTAGGATAGAAAATAAATTAGGTACAAGACTTTGGACTAAACAAGATAGGATAGATAATGGAGTATTTTCTCTGAATTTGTCAGATACAAATGGACTAGACATTGTTGATGTATTAATTTCCTGTATATATTGTCTATAGTTATTGTACTCATTATATAAGCTTTTTCTTATATTAGTTTATAGACTTTTTTATTATTTTAGACAAAAAAGGGAAATGTGGTGATTTTTTGTTTATGTGGTAACAAATAAAGCTTGCCTGAAGACCAGACTGTGAAGTTAGCCATACTAGTTAACCATAGAGGCCAGGTAATGGTGGCACCTTTAATCCCAGCACTCAGCAGACAGACTCAGATGGATCTCTCTGAGTTCAAGGCCATCCTGCTGGGCTACATGAGATTGAATCCATCTTTAAAAAAAAGAAAAAAGACCAACAACAACAACAGACCCCACACCTTTGATCCTAGCACTACTTATCTCATATCTTTAATCTTATTAATTGGAGAGATGGGGATAGGAGTGATATTGCTGGACAGAGACAGGAATATAAGGTGGGAAGAGACAAGAGATAATTTCATTCAATCATGAGCACAGATGCAAAAATACTAAACAAAATACTGGCAAATAGAATCCAAGAACACATCAAAAATAAAAAAAAGGAAAATAAGTAAATAAATAAATAAAAAGAAACCATCCACCATGAGCAAGTAGGCTTCATCTTAAAGATGCAGAGATGGTTCAACATGAAAAAAAAATCCATGTAATCCACCATACAAACTGAAAGAAAGAAAAACACATGATCATCTCATTAGACGCTGAAAAAGCCTTTCACAAAAAACCAACATCCCTTCATGACAAAGATCGTGGAGAGATAATGGACACAAAAAAAACATACCTAAACATAATAAAAGTGATACACAGCAAGCTGACGGTCAA